TATATATATATATATATAGTAATTGGGATATGATTGGACGAGCTTACTTAACTTAGTGATTGATATTGGGATGGGAAGAGACTTTTAGCCAGCATAACAAAAAATGTTTTTGAACCAAATCACCTATACAGCAAAATCCCCAGAGTTAAATCAACTCTGCTCAGAGTACATAATGTCCCAATCTACAGAGTGTTAAAGTAACACTGAAGCAGAGTTAAAGTTAATGGGATAATTAAGCGATTAATTAAGTAATGATTGAGCATTAGTAAAGAAAACCCGCTGTTAACAATGTTGAAGATGAACAACTACTGCTCAGGCTTTTAGACATGAAAACGTATCACATAATCCTCAACAGTGGTAACTCTGCTTCAGTGTTACTTTAACACTCTGTAGATTGGGACAATATGTACTCTGAGCAGAGTTGATTTAACTCTGGGGATTTTGCGGTGTAGGGTGCCACAAGTTTGTTAAAATTTCCAAAGGGTGCCGCGACTAAAAAAAGGTTGATACTCTGGTGTGGAGTTCGGTGTCCAAAGCCCCCCAGTAAGGGCATTGATTCCACTGGGCTATTCGGATGGCACATTTAGCAGAAAATAATTTGTGGTAGGTGTAAAAGTGAGAGCCGCCGTATGATAACGCGAGTTCGGCGATTATTGAGAGATAATCGACGAGCTCGCGTCTCCTGTGAGGAAAAACAGTGCAGATGACTTCGATGTAACGGGTGAAAGCGATCGTGAATTCAGCAAATGTTAAAATACGTGATGGGTTGTGAGCTGTGTTTTTTAACGTGACAATAAATCCGCCGCAGTCGATTTGGCGATCTGCGGGTGAAATTGGTGACAGAAGGGAAAAAAGGTCTATATCCGCACCTGCCAAGATCTGTGTCCTGATGTTATTGGCTACGGGGGGTGGTTCCAAGGCGAGGGCGTTCGGAGGGGTGGGTAGTGGCGTGGCGGAAGAAAGAGAGAAGGAAGAGCGAGCGAGGGGAGGTGGAAAGGTAGCCGCCGGAACTGCTTGCGGAGGCATGCTCACGCTTGGGGCAGTTCCGGGGAAGGAATAGAAAGAGGGAAAGAGAGGGGAATTGACGGGCACCGGGGCCTGCGTCGGTAGCGGAGGCAGGCTCACGCTTGGTACAGCTCCGGGAGCGGAAGAAAAAGGAGGAAAGAGAGAGGGAAAGGCGGGCGTCGGTGCCTGCGCCATTAGCGGAGGCATGCTCGCGCTTGTGATCGTTCCGATAGCGGAAGAAAAAGGAGGAAAGAGAGAGGGAAAGGCGGGCGTCGGTGCCTGCGCCATTAGCGGAGGCATGCTCGCGCTTGTGACAGTTCCGATAGCGGAAGAAAAAGGAGGAAAGAGAGAGGGAAAGGCGGGCGTCGGTGCCTGCGCCATTAGCGGAGGCATGCTCGCGCTTGTGATCGCTCCGGGAGCAGAAGAAAAAGGAGGAAAAAGAGAAGAAATGGCGGGCGTTGGAGCCTGCGCCATTAGCGGAGGCATGCTCACGCTAGCGATGGATGGTGGGGCTGCGGGCCATGGGTAGGGGAGGGGGTACGGGGAGGTGTGTGGCGAGGGTTGTGGGTAGGTCTGCGCCGCTAGCGGAGGCGTGCTCACGCTAACGCGGCGGCTCGTGGAGACTGGAGCTGGCATTTCGTCGAGCTGGCGTTCGGTGGATGGAGGAGGAGGTCTGGGGCTGGCGGCATCCGGGGCGCGGCCCAGGCTTGCCGAAGGCTTTTTGCTGCGGCCTACTGGTCGGAAGCCCGTCTTCGAAGGAGTGGTGGTTAATTCGGGCCGAGAGTATGGAACACTACGGCCCTGGCTCGCTTTGTCCGCGGCCCTGGATGGAGGAGTGAAAGTTGGAGGCGCCCCTGTTTGGAGGGAAATATAGAGGGCGAGGAGATCTGCCTTGGCTGATCGTCGTGGGACGCTGACGCCGGAGCTGACGAGCGCCTGGCGTAGTTCTGCCACGGTCCATTTCTCCGCAGCTGGGGCGGGGGAGAGGGCTGAGGCGTAGGAGGACGCTGGAGAAGGTGGCTGACGCCTTGAAGGCGCAGGTGATGGCGTGCCTCGGTGCCTGGAGGTATGCGCGATGGCGGCGCGGGAGGGCCGGCGGCCCCGAGTTGCAGCCGCGGGCTCGCTTATGGTGTCCTGCGGAGCACTGGTGTGCTGGACGGCGACTGAAGACGCCGGAGGACCCGTGGTGTCGAATTCATTATCGTCCGGGAAAAGCTCGATGTCTGACATGGTGCTAAGGATGCTAAGGACGGGAGATAATGGAGGTAAGGCTGCTTT